GTTTGTAAGGTTTGTGTTCATAAGCACAGTCAGATCTAGCCAGGGAATGCTGATCTTATACCCAAACTGCTCACAGTAGGGAAGAGGTGCGCACCTTCTGATTTCCACGCAGGGCAGGTGATGATGTTTTATAGGACAGGGGTGGGCACGAGGGTTGCATGGCACTGGATTGTGGGGACTAATGGCACCATGGCCCCCACCTTCACACTGGCATAGCTTCCACTGGTCACACGTGGCTCTCGCACTTGGATCATCCTGGAAAATAAAAACCTAAGATTTGGCTCCTCATCCCTTGAGCCATCCTAGAGTCATGCAGAGCAGAGGACAGATGAAGTCACATGAGGCGCTCCTGAAGTGCCGCCGATGGTTTGATACTGGGGTGATGAAGGTGGGGGAATTGCAGGGAGGACCAACTGCTGAGGTGTGTGAGTGGGGTGCAGGGCCACAGGAAGGCAAGACTGTCTGAGCACTGTAGCAGCTACAGCTCTCACCAGTCATGCCTGCCGAATGCACCTGGCCCAACATCCAAGGCAGGGTCTCCTGGGGCCACAGCAGGTGCCGTGGGCATTAGCCCTGACTCGGCCTGCCAAGTCCCTGCTGAGCGCACTATGCCTAATGCCCTGGACATCAGTGCTGTGCCCCCACAGCTGCATATTCACATCCTCACCTGCGAACATGGCCTGCCCCAGGTGGGAGTGGACACGTGGGTGGTGCTTTGCTTCTTCTGCAGAGAAGTGACTTTGCTCAGGAATCAAATCTGATTCCTGCTGAGGCTGCCAGAGCCACATGGTACAGCCAAAGATTATAGTGCAGGATTACAGTTCACAAACTGGATTCTTTCCACAAGTCTGATCACCAACTGAATTGGACAAGAACCAAGTCACATTTCCCCATTAAGCTCAACATTGAACCTAACCATTGAATTTAATTTAATTCTCATCCAATTTGGTTGGATTAGAACACATTTCATGATCGTTGGCTTTTCCCACCTGGAAATATGTTATATGTTAGTATTTGAAGTAAATATTTTTGGGCATATAAATTCCAAAATGGGTTACTAGGGCCCTATCTGTAATTTACAACGTGTATCTTTTGTTGAGAAACAAGAGTTTTGGAAAGAAAATGACAAGAGACTGGGCATGGTGGTGCACACCTGTAATTCCAGCTCTTGGGAGACTGTAAACAGGCAGATCACTACGAGTCCAATGTAGTAGTGAGACCCTGAACACTCTAGAGACCCTACCCTAAAATACAAAGAAAAGAAAAAATGACATCACACACCAATAGGGAATTTAACTGGGCCACAGCCCTCTAACATCTTCTTTCGGTAATGGTTCTTATGGCCTCTGTTCTTTGTTAGATCAGAGAATGTTGTCCTGGCCAGCTCCCTCCATTAGGACTTGGAGAAAATTATGGGGTTGCAACTGTGAGATATGTGGGTGTGTTAGGAAGTTATCCAGGACTCTTGGAAATGATGGTAAAGTTGCTTCCTTTGGACTGTCTGGTAGGTACAGGGACCAAGGAAATGGGGTCTTGGTGGGAAAGGAGTACAGCTCAATTCGGCACAGGCCAGAGGGAGGGTAGCCAGGGAGCAGGTTGGGGTGGATGGAAATACTTTGGGAGCCATTGGTGAGGTGAATTCTAGGGGACCTAACAGGACAGGGCAGGGTTACAGATGTCCCCTGGAGTTGGTGGGGATGAGGAAGTAGATCAGGAGTCCAAGATGACAGCTGTAGACGGTGACTAAATATCAGGGAGAGTTCTGGGCAAACTGGCTTAGCAGGGTTCTTACTAAGACTGGGTTTACAAGGGTGTGCCCTGATGGTCTGGAAGGGGCTGAGGAGTCTGTCTGCAGTTGGCCAAGCACAGAATCATAGTTGTTAGTTTTATTTCCTTAAAGTTTTAGTAGAAATCACTGGCCAGTCAGCCTGACATTCTTTTGTTTTGTTGAAATAGGGTCTTGCTATAGCCCAGGCTGGCCTTCACAATTCCCAACCTACCAGAAAGATTTAAGTTTAAAAATGTGTATAGAAGGGTTAAATTTTGTTTCTTTGTGTGACCATGTGGTAAATTACAGCTTCTTAGAAGTCTCCATTGCCTGCAGATTATCGAATGTTTTGAGCGGTTTAAAGTGTACTTTTGTCAGCTTTCTGCCCTCTGAGTGCGGGCTTACCCACGTGGCCTGGGCTGCTGAGGAGTTTGGTAGTTTTTCCTGTCTCTTCCTGTCCTTGACCAATCTTTCCAGTCTTCCAGTGTCTCTCTACAAAATGTTCTTTCTTGTTGATTTCCCTACTATATTATTTTCTCCTCTTGTTTTTATTATTTCTTTCCTTCTAACTGTTGGGTTTTATTTGCTGTTTTCTAGCTTTGTAAAATGGATGCTTACATCATTGATTTTTAGCCTTTCTTCTCCCCTGGTATTTTTAAGACTATAAATTTCCCTCTGAGTAGGACACAGTGGCAGACTATAAATTTTGAGATGTCATAATCTCATGAAGCTTAAAATAATGTTTTCTTTATTATAGAAACAGTATGTCCTCAGTGCCCTCAACTTGGAAATAAGACAGGCACAGTAGGAGCGGCAAGCATCCCCGGGTACCTCACTCAGGGCAACCACGTGGGTGTCCAGGACATGGACTTAGGGTTTCTTTCAAGTGGATATTAAGCTGTCCTTTTTATTTTTTTTTATTTTTTTAAAATTATTTATTTGTGTGTGTGTGTGTGTGTGTGTGTGTGTGGCCAGCTCAGCCCACCAGGGGGCGGGCTGGCTGACATGTGGTGCTGGAGGATCGAACCGTGGTCCCTGTGCTTTGTTGAGCTTGTTCTAAGTAGGCGCTTTAGACCACTGAGCCATCTCACCAGCCCTAAGCTGTCCTTTTTAAAGCCCCCACACACACACTATAAGAAGGTGGATAAATACTTCGTTTTAGAACCTTTGTGCTACCTCTTCACACATTAAAAAATAAAAAGACACCAATAAGGATAATTTGTTCTCTTGTTAAACTGGGCCTGGGAAATAATTACTCTTCAATTTTTAAGTGGGTATAAGACTATTATGATTTTCTGTTTCTTCTTGGCATCATTTGATAAATTGTATTTTTCTCAAAAGTACCCATGTTTTGAGCATGAATATTTTATAGACTTGCTCAAGAATTAGCTATTCAGAAAGATTTGGAATCAGCATCAGTCTGTCAGCCAAGCTTAGCAGGGCCTGGTTATCAATTCATGCTTACAAATGAAATGGAAAATTACAGTATTCAAAAACCTAGCAGCGATTGAGGAAAGTGATAAAACATACTAATTATGGGCTAGCCCATAATCTTTATGTCATGATTTTATGAGGATTAGTTTTGGCTTTATGCCAAATTTGAGGTAGCAGTCGGTTTCATAGCTACAGTTGCTAAGTGTATCAGGAGAAAACCTAGACTCATTTAAAAATAGCAGTGGAATTGTTCACCGTCCCAAAACACAGTATCTAAGCTGCCAGTGGCACAGCGCTGGGAAGGAGCTGTAGAGGTGCGTGTCATGTGAGAGGGCGAGATCCGAGGACGGTGAGAGCAGAGTGTCCCGAGTGTCCTCACTCTCGCTGGGGCTGGGCTGTGCGCACAGACACGTGGTGTATGGGCGAGGGGACAGCCCTGGCTCTGTAGCTGTGCTCTCGTCATTCTGCGGACAGCGCTGTTGAGGCTATTAGGTGGCATGTGGGAGCCGCTTTGAAGAGCCAGATGTGGAAGGCAGATCAGGCACGTTCTGATTTCACAGGAAGAGTAAAGCCCTTACGTGCAAGTTATAGGAAAAGAGGATTTTATTCAATAATACATTATGTCTTGATTTCCCATAAGAATCTGTGATGGGGTCATGTACGGCTAAGGAAAACTGAACAAGAATTTCCTAAAAATGAGAATTATCTAATAACCAAGCACAGTGAGGCATGGCAGCCAGTTCTGCAGATGTAGATCTGCTCAGGCAAGCTCTGGGGAGGTGTGAGCCGTGGTGACAGGACTGCATGTGGGCATGGTTTCCGTGCTTGGTGACTTTCAAGGGTGTGCAGGCCTGGCCATGTGCAGTGTGGAATTTCAGTGTCCACATGCACCTTCAAGTGCTGCTGCCTTCTGTCAGCCATGCCCAGAGCCCGTTACTCATGGAGAACTTCCCTATCATGTGATAGGACTGATGCGCTAGGCATTCTCCTCTTGACCACCACTCCTGCCTGCTGACTTTGCTTCCTCCCTGTTCTCGTCCTGGTCCACCTGTCCTGCGCTACACAGCTCCCTCAAGCACACACATCTCAACCATGGGATCTCCTCCCAGTTAGTGTGGATGGTAGCAGTTTGAAGTCAGCTGTACTAGGAGTATTTACACCAGGGAAACTGGCAAGAGGTACAACGCAGGAGTTTTCTAAACAGTTAGCTGGCTTGTAACCATTTACTAGCACACCACTGACTTATTTCACATATGCACCAACTTCCCCTATCCCAGCGCCCAGACTGAGTCTTCACTTCAAAATGTAACCTGTTGTTGATTTAGATGGGCAAGTCCTCACTATTTATAGTTTATCCTTACTCACAAGAAATTCATAAAAGATACTAAAATGAGTGCAAACAATGTGAGAATTCATGAGTTTACCCCCCAAGGTCATAGGAATGAAATTTTACATCCAACACAACAACTCTTACATTCTTAAAAATATACTGGAGGTCACAATTGTAACAACTCTGTATGCACACACCTTTTGGAGGAAAAAGTGGGCTATTAATTTGTATTATCATTAGTCTAAAGATCCTTTAGACTGTAATTACTGTGGAGTAAAATTGAAAATTCTTGATATAAATAGCTTACATTCCTTTTCCATACAACTATCAAGTTCTGAGGAAAATGTGTTTATCCTAATGTGTTTGTTATGGTCCCACTGTGCTGTTATGGTCCCACTGTGCTGTTAGGGTCCCACTGTGCTGTTAGGGTCCCACTGTACTGAATATTGTTGCATTTTAATACTTCAGCAGATCAGGAGCCCCATGATCAACCAAAGAAAAGAATTAGAAAGCATAAACTGAAGAGAAAATTCAAAAATTCCAATAATCATGTAGAACAAGCAGAATTAGAGCAACAGCGGAGCCTTTTACAAGCAGAATTACCACAGCATACAGATGGACCCACAATAAGCAAAAATAAGAAAAGGAAGCTGAAAAAGAAACAGCAGATTAGAAGGAAGAGAGCCGCCGGCTTAGTGACCAAGGCCTCCAGTGTGAGCTTCACATACCAGCCTGAGGAGACTGGCAGTGAACAGGAAGACATCTCCTGGCCTGCTGGAGGTGGGGCCGCCAGTGCCACGGAGGAGGCTGCAGAAGGCACCAGTGCAGAGGCTGACACAGCCCCCAGCCAGGAAGACATGGAGACCACCAACCGGAAGGCCGAGGGCATTCTGAAATTTCTGCAGTCAACTCGGGAAATGTATTTCTATGATGGTAGGTTTTTCTTCTTACTGTCCTTTGTTTAATGGTACCCACTTAATATTTTGTAAATTAACCAAGTACAATAAAATATTTAGATGTTTACAATGTGGAGCACATAAGATATTCAAAGTAAATAATTAGTGTTGAGGCAAAATCAAAATATTATCATTGTTTCCACCAAAGAGTTTGTGCTGTGTCTCCTTGGCGTGAAAGGGTTGGGCTTGGTGATCATTTGGAGTAGCGATTTGTATTAATATTCACATTTATGTAAGTCTTCATTAACAACCAGTAGGAAAAACACAGGCGCTCACTAGGAGCTGATGCAGTGACCCCAGGATGAGGCCCTCCAAACCAGTCCCCTTCCTATTTTCATGCTAGCTATTTATTGATTTACTGATTTATTTTAATTTTTTTGGCAGAACTGGGAATTGAACTCAGACCCTTGCGCTTGCCAGGGAAGCGCTTATTCCACTGAGCCGTCTCCCCGGCCCCATCATGCTGTTTAGGACGTCCTAGGGGCCCACATGTCAGAAGCACATTTGACAGGCGCTGGGGAGCACCAGAGAAGTGTCGCTCTACAGTACCGTGCGAAGCAAGTGACTGGTTTAAACACCAGTGCAAGTCAGTTTTAGCCAGTACAATCGCAGCAGCTGACATGCACCCCATCCTCTTTAGCAGCTTTATCAGCAGTTTCAGCCAGTTGGAAATACATGTAACAGATACCAAAATGACACAGATAAGAGGGCACAACAACACTGCAGAGAGAAGCAGAACCCCCATGCTGAATCTGATAGGGCGAGTGGCCATGCTGAGAATAACAGGAAAAGCCAGTTTATAAAGTCTGCCAGGCATGGCACATGTCTTAATCCCAGCACTCAGGAGGCTAGGCAGGAGCATCGCTGTGAGTTTGAGACCAGTCTGGGCTACAGAGTGAATTCGAGGTCAGGCTGAACTACAGAGCAAGACCCTGTCGAGAAACTAGGTAAATAAAATGTCTGAAGCTTCCTTGGAGATCAAAGTCTGCCTTTAGCTTATAAAGGTGAAACCAACACTGCATTTGTAAGTGAGGCTTACTCCTCTCAGGTGTCTCCAAAGACACGGATTCAGCTGTCCGTGTGGAAGCTGCTGAAGAGCTGTTCCGCTGTCTTGAGTCTCGCCACATGACCCCCTCGGATGTGCTCATTCTGGACCATATGAAAACGCTGCTCCTTTTGCACGACACAGCAAGGCTGCGGCGGGCCCTGGAGCTGCTCCCGGAGCACTGCACCATGCCTCGCAGTGAGTACCACACGTGCTCCACACACACGCTGGCCGTGGTTTCCCTGGAAGCCCACCAAACAGCAGAGGGTCAGGAGAAAGCACCGCCCATGTCCTGGGGAGCAGAGAGTCCCACAACGAGTAGGTTTCATGTGCCTCTACTTGATACAGAATTTCTCACAATACTTGCACAAGTATCTGGGCCATCTAATTTTCAAACTTCTGAACTATGACTATGAGAGACAATTTTTCCAAGTTTAAACAATATTAGAACTCATGTCTTTCCCTACTGCTAGATGACTAAGGTGGATTGTTTTTACCCTCTAAACATCTTGGTACCTCCTTAAACCCCTCGAGTTGAAAGATTACGTTTTCGTGGTAACTTTTCTAATGATTACCTCCCCAGTATTGGTGGGGTTCCCATTCCCTGCAAGTTGTATGCCAGGGCCATTGTGGGGACACGCAGAAACCTCAGGTGCTGCAGGCAGAGGAAGCACTGCCCCGCAGGCAGCACTGGGCAAGTTCCATAGGAGTGAGAACGGGAGGAACCTGCCACCAGCTAGGTAAAGCTCCTAGATAGGTGACACATACGTCCATCCTGAGACTTCACTGTGGGCGAGGGCCAGCATGCACTCTAAAAGGCAGATGCAAACCAAGTCAAGGAACAGTGTAGCTGTCACAGTGTGCCCTGGGAGAGCAGACAAGCAAATGACAGATGAAGAGCATTTGATTTTTAGGCAGGGGAGGTCATCCTGGGTTGCATGTGTACACCTACCTGTGATGCAAGCAGCCAGGAACGGGCTTGTGAAGGGGAAGATGGAAGCTCTGCCCTCAGGAGCTTGTGTCTGAGTGGTAGAGCCAAAAGGAGCCTGGTGGGAGGCGGGGGCATGAGGCTGGGGAAAGAGCAAGGAGCAGGTGTTCTTGCAGCCAGGTGTGGTCTTTCTGAGACAGCAGTGACCCGTGAGGCAGTACAGAAGAAACTGCAGTGGAGCTGTCTGGCTCTAGGGGCCATGGAACATGTGGGCTTTTACTTAGAGAAGCAGGAAGCTTCTGGCAGGCTTAGTGGCAGGCTCACTTCCTTTACGGGTCTCTGGGCTGCTGGGTCGAGACCAGAGTAGACGGAAACTTACATATGATCCTGTCTTCTAGAAAGTCGGTTCCCTTTCAGCATGCAGTAGGATTGCACTTGAAGCTTTTCTGTATCATGCTATTTGGTCAAATAAAATCTAGTAAATGATGAAGCTTTGTATTCAAACCCTGGATTTGTCTAGTGCCTATTTGACCTGCATAACTCTTTGAAACTTTATGAAGTTAAGTGGTAGCTCTGTCTTTCCTCTTCATAAGCATAGCACTTATAATTAGTTACAAAATGTTTTCTGTTTATCTCACTTTTCTCTTCCCTGGCCCAGGAATTTTTTACTAAATCATAGACACTTCCTCTGTGTAAGAGGCAAACATCTTTCACAAGGTCCATGCATGGCTTTCACAGTGCTGGGACTACGCCAGTGCCCAGGAGCAGGGTGGATCTCATGTTCCCATGTAGCCTTTCTTTTTTTTTTTTTTTTTTGCAGAACTAGGAATTGAACTCAGTCCCTTGTGCTTGCCAGGGAAGCGCTTATTCCACAGAGCCATCTCCCCGGCCCCTCCCATGTAGCCTTGAGTCATCAGTGAGCGTGCCACAGGGCAGAGCTGGCACTTGCTGCGTTGCTGTCACGTGCAGGCACTGAGAGGTGCTGTAAGAATCATCCTGTCTGAGGAGAGGAGGCTTGCAGATGCACCTGCCCTGGGCAGAAGAGCACTGCCTTGGGAGGGTCTTGGAGTGGCTTCTGTGGGGTGGGTGGAAGACCAAGCACTCTCCCCACAGTGCCCCATCTCTGGATTTGATCTGGTTTGGAAGTGAAGCGTCTGCATCAGAGCAGTGGACCAACTCCAGGGCTGGGTCAGGAGGTGTCTTCCTCTGCCCCTGCCTGCAGGCTTGGTGTGCATTCTCCATGAGTGACAACTGTAGAAGTAGCAGGTCCTTTGTGAACTAGATCCTAGAATCTTCCCATGTTGTGAAGTCTGCGTTTAGGGGAACCAGTAACCAAGCTTAGGACCTCACACTTGCCAGGCAGGAGCTGTGCAGCCGAGCTGTATACCCTGTCTTGTAAAGCCTCCATTCGAGGAGACCGAACTTACAGTGACAGCCCTTCTCCGGGAAGCCACGGGAGGGTTGCAGGTGATGCCAGAGAGGCTCTGGCTCCTGCTGCGCTTGTGCAGCACTGACCCCATGGGGGCTGGAGGCTGTGCGAGCACTCAGCCGCACTTGGATTCTAACCGCATTGCATTTGCCCGCCCTTGGCATGAAGTTGTGTTTCCTTTTCATTGCAGTCTGAATATAGCTTTCTTCCAGATCAGACTGTAGCCTTCAGTATTGTGCTCTGATTGTATAATGTGCAGACCCAGTAGAACTCGGGAGATCAGATAAATTGTGAATATTCTGAACAGCTACAAACTAGTGCTGACTTATTTCTCATCTTTGATTTTGTTTTTTGCTTTCCAGACCATGCCAGAGTAATCTCTGCTTTCTTTAATTACTGGATTACACATGTCCTTCCTGAGAAAAATAGTGAATAAAACCAGTATGTCACTTTAAGAAGAATTAATATTTACAAAAACAAATGTAAATGGCAAAGTTGGCTGAGAGTTCATTCTTATGTACAAAGAAGATTAAATTCCTAATATTTTATTTGTAACTCAAATCCTGGGGACTTTGAAGACATTTCTACCATATGATTTATTCCTGGGTAAGATTATGAGACTTTAAACATCAGAGACTTTAAATGAGAAATGGGATATAATTGAAAATTTCACCTGTTTGCAATTACATGTCTTGAATTACTACATAAAACTTGTTTTTCTGATTCCTCTAAAGCGTTGAAAAGGGGCACTGTATTAAACATAGAGTTGTGTTTCAGTTACTTTTTTCAAAATATACACCACCTAAAACTTAAGGAGGTGCTTATTTTAGCTCATGTGTCAGTCCCTTATCAGCCATTGCCAACAAAGGAACAGAGTGGCAGAGGGCTTGGCAGAGGAGTAGCTGCCAACCTCATGGCAGCCAGAAAGCAAAGAGAAAGAGGAGCAGGAAGAGAGAGAGTCTTCCGTCGGTGCCGTGCCACACTCTTCCCGCCAGACACCACCTGACGGCATCGGGTCACCTTCCTCCAGTCGCACTTACAAGCACGTCAGACTTTGGAGGACGGCTGGACATAAGTGACAACAACAGTTTAAAGTTGCTGTTCCTTTTTAATCAAGTTTTAAGTCATCTTGTACCTGAAAATCTTTGCTTTCAGGGTGCCTTAGGTATATTAAAAACCTCAAGTTAAAGTAGTTTGAATAAAACTGATTTTGTTCTTTTTTTTCTAAGTTGAAAGTAATGTCAAAAGCCTGTTTTTCCCAAGCTTTCCTGCTTTAGCTTTGCCCGTTTTTAGTATTCCTGACTTTTAAAAGTTAACAGTTAATTAGAATATCATTTTAGGAGGACATTGACCCTCCCCATGAAAATAACTTTGTTGTAATAGAAATATAGGTAGCGCAACATTCCCCTATTTTTAGGGTACTGTTGCGTATTTGGTGGCATCAGGTCCCTTTGTGAGGCCAGTAGCCATCACTGCTCTCATTCCGCTCTGTGGCTGAAGAGCGCTCCTCAGTGTGCATGTGAAGCGCATGGCACGTGTCCATCCGGCCGTCCGCTGACAGACATTTGGGTTGTCTCCCCTCTTGCCTGACATAAGCGGGTCTGCTAGGGATGTGTATGTACAAGACTATGTATGGATGTTTGTGTTGATTCTAAGGAGAACTGTGCCCCAATGGCAGCATAAGTGCCTGCCTGGCAAGCGCATGCTCCCGAGTTCTATCCCTGGTACCTAAAAAAAAAAAAACTGGAATTAGGACATGTAAATCCTCCAACTTGTTCTTTTTCAAGATTGTTTTACTATTTACAATCCTTGAGTATCCATATGAATTTAGGCTGGACTTTTGCTGTTGATGCAAAGAATGCTTTTTTTTTTTTTTTTTAAATCTGATATGGAAAGCATCCCCTTCCCCCTCAGCAGTAAATCCAGAATGATATCCTCTACCTCTCCACCACCTCTAAATTGAGTCAGGGGTGGTGTCTTTGGACCCTTGTGCTTTCCTCTCTGGACAGTCAAAGAGTGGAGATAGGCTTAGACTTGATTCTATAATCGGTCTGCATGCATGTGCTGGTGAAAGCTGGCTGTCAGCTGTGTCCTGCAGCAGTAGCTGAGACCTGAATGCTGGGCAGACTCAGAGGACTGGCCAAAGCACTTGGCTGCACAGCCCCTCTGCACCCAGCCGGTCGAAGCTTGGAGCCTCTGTGTGGAGGGAGAGGACAAAAGTGGTGGCACCATTGCTCCCAGGCCTCCAACAGAGATCTCTTCCATGATGTAGAACCTTTTGAAAAGAGGTAGTTCTGGAGGTGGGTCATCTCGAGACCAGTGGCCAGGTCATTCTTCCCAGCCCAGCTAGAGTTGGTGACTGGCTACAGGCAGACAAAGTATGTCATGACAACAGGAGGCGTGCATCTACCCAAATGTGATATTCTAAGGAAAAGCTACCTGAGAACAGAGCTGTAGGGCTTCACTGATCCATGTTTCGACATGGATCTTCTTGGAGAAGACAACATTGCCATCTGCTGCAGCATGCTGTCCTTCCTGCCTCTGACCCTCATCATGTGACTGAAGAATTCCTGCCACAAGGCATACTGGTCCTGGTCTATCTTCCCTCAGTGACACAAATCCTTCTTTCTCTGCAAGCTTCCTGTGTCTTCACAGGCCTGGGCTGTCCATGTACCAGGTGAAACCTACCATTTAAAGAACCTTTTCAGTATGTGTTTGTTGGCCAATATAAACATAAATATCAACAGACTCATAATCTTCTTAATTCTGAACTTCCAACTTGTATCTTTAGGCATGAACCATCACATCTTTAAAATGCTTGTGAATTAATGCACTGGTTTAGGAGCACAGGATTTGTGGACCCTTTACTTGATTTTACAGAAGTCCCAGTGACTCTTCCACTACATCCCTTCTTCTGACCCTAGAGTGCAGAGGCATAGGACCATTATTCACCAGGTAGGACAATCAGGGCTCACTAGTTTTATGTATCGTTCTAATTCCAAAAAGAAAACTACAGCTTCTAGAAAGCAAAGCAAATAAATCTTGTCTCTACTATGTCAGCATAAAAGAATGATCTGTTTATCCCATTGCAATTGAAAGTCAAGTTGGATCGTAATTAGATCAGTTTATTTCTACAGTGGTGCAAAATATGTGTGTGGCCGTGTAATTTATTTTCTGTTAACCTCAGGATTTAAGAGAGAAGCTCTTGAGGAGCGTTAAGAATGCTTGTGTCTCATGAGTATTGGCCATTGCAGCTGAGAGAAGAAAGCCCGGGTGTTTTCTGGACCTGTCGCCATCCCACCGACTCCCGTGGGCTTGCTGCTGCGTTTGCACAGCCCCGGTGGTGGGCGAGCGAGCACACACCTGTGCCTGCTGTCCTGGAGCTTCCTGGCCACGCCAGTGCCTGCCACTTTATCGTGCTGGGTTTTCCTTCTCTTCTCAGGGGATTGTGCCTTCCCACTGGCATCCAGCTCTGCTCTGGTGAGAACCTGATGGCCACATGCAGCATCAGACGAGATGCCTGCGCCTGCCCTGCCACACACGTGTGCAGCTCTGACCAGGGCCCCCATCTCCAAAACCCCACTTAACCCTATTGTTGTTTTGTTGCTGTTGTGTGTATTTTAGGGAAGGGCCTACAAGGTGTCCAGGGTCTCACTACTATTTTGGATTCAGTGATCCACCTGTTTACAGCCTCCCAAGACCTGGGATTACAGGCACGTACCACCATGCCCAGTCTCAGTTGCCATCTCAGCGCTCCTCGGGGGCGGGGCCAGCACAACAGGCCCAGGGATGGACTTCTCCCCTCTCCCCTATGCTTGCTTGCAGATGCTTTAATCCGCTGAGCTTTTCGGCTGGCCATAACCTTATTGTATTTTCCTCACAAGAGTCAGCAGTCAGCACAGCTAGGCTGGTCTTACATAGCTACTGTAGCTTTGTTCCTGTGATCATAGGACTGAGGTAGTATTCCGCATCTGACTGCTGGCTGAAGCTGCCCTCAGCCCCTCAAGGCCCTGGAGTCACAGCCATGTGACTTCTCCAAGTGTGGCAGCTGGCCTGCCCACCAGCCAGGAAGGACCTGTCTGTAAGTTTCTTCCCACAGGGATCTCCTAATACAGTGAGGCCCACTCAGGCAGTCCGCCTTTCACTGCATGTGAAGTAACTAGGTTACGACTGCAGAATCTCCTCACAGCAGTGACCTGTGGTATGGGCAGGTATGTGAACACACTTGGAGATGGTGAGGATGAGAGCTGACCCACCAAAAGCTGAGTGTGTGTGCCCATCCCTTCCCTTGCCACCATCCTGCTGTGACACTGTGGCTAGACCTGGCATTGTGGGTCCTTATGAGAGGAGGTCAGGGAGTATCCAAGTGGGTCTGAGACAAGATTCCTGGGAGAGAGCCTGTGCAAATGTGCTCACAGGGGAAACCAGTGGCATGAAGCAGCCATGAGGCTGCTGCTCTCAGCCAAGTCCTAGGGAGCTTGGGCTGGCCTCACGTGACTGCAGAGGCAGACATAAGCAGCCACACAGGCTACACCACGTAAAGGTACTTCTTTCCATGTCCTTGTCCAAGGCGGGTGGTTCCATGTATCTGATAAGGCAGAGTAAGAGATGGGTGCTGAAAACAGGGGCAGCCGCGTGGCAAGGGTAAAGGCAGCTCACATGAGTGAGCTGGGTGCCCAATTCAGAGCTGCCTGAAGGTTCATGCAGTTTATTTTCATTTACTTCTCATGGGGACACGTCTTCACAAAGATGTGCATGACAGTCCTCAAAGGGCTCATTGAGGCAGGCAGGGGCTGGAGTCTGGGCCCACAGCCTCCACCCACTCTAGAGAGCACCCAGTGGCACTGCAGCTTTCCTGCTTGTCTGGGGTAGCCTCCATATTGTTACCCAAGATTGAACCTAGGATGTGGCCATGACACACACCGAATGGCTTTATTCTGGAAGAGCCAGTAAACCATGTAGGCATGAAGGGTCACACTGTACTAATTTTTTTTTTAACAAGTATGTTTAGATGAGAGAAGTGTATTGTACATTAGTCCATTTTCAGTTGCCGTAACAAAAATTGGAGGCTATGTTCTTTATACAGCAAAGACCTTTATTCCACACCTAGTCTTGGAGGTCGGTGTGGGCCTAACCCCTGGCCTGGCCTCCTGGCTCTTCACAACTGGTGGCTGCCGTTCTGATGGTTCTGCTTCATAGAGAGGGATTTTGGGGGATGGCAATGATTGACTGGTGGCCCAGGTGGTACTTAGAGGAAAGGATGGGTTGGCTTGGCAGCTCCCCAGTGACACCTGTCCCTTAAAGGTTTGCTGAATGTTTTTGTGGATGGGACACGTGGTTGTTAGAACTCAGGCAGGTCAGTTGTCTCAGAGAGACACAAGTGGCTTTGTACAGCTGTTTAGGTCACAGCAGAACTTCCTCTTCTGCCATATCCCCAGCCTCACCAGGCGAGAAGGGGACATGCTCTGAGACCTGTGGTGTGTCTAGAAGGTGTCCAGAGCCCCAAATGCACTGTGTTCATCCCGAGCTCCTGGCACTGTTGGCACGTAGTATCATAATTAAACTGCCCTGCCATATTCATGTCCCAGAACTTTGCTTGCTTCTGATTCCTCTGCTTTGGAACCATTTTCTGGCATGAATTAAGGGCTCCTTAGACACAAACAAGTATGTGACAGTCAGTCTCACCACCAGCTCAGCTGCTGAGTGACAGGGAGCTTGCATAGTTGGCACAGATAGCCTGGACATAGAGATAATTCGTTCACTGGGCAGGACTGGACAACACAGGGTGGGAAGTACAAATTCCCGCCACACCATAGAATAGGGTGCAATTTAAAACTTAGGGGTGGTTTATTTCTGGAACTTTTCCATTTAATATTCAGTCTAAAATTGGGTACAGGTAGCTAAACCCCTAGATGAAGGAAGACTGCTGACCCAAGAGGTATTGAAGTCACAGGTGGTGGCGGCATCACTTGACGTCACCATGCTTTGGGTGACATAAAGGCTACTGAGAAAGCACAACAGAATGGAGTGCAGGATGACCATGTCCTCAGGACACGGTGCCTCGCTCCTGTTGGACCTCACACACACATGGCTGTGGTGCCCATGGAGACTCTATGGGAGAGCTCTAGTCCTCACATCTGCAGCGCCTGACAGAGAGCAGGCATCAACCTCTGTGCTGTGGCTCAAAACAAGTCATGGCCACATCTTTGTGCCACACTGGTCCGACTGTTAGAAG